GAATTTGGGGCGGGGGGGGGGGGTGGTGATTACGGATCTGAGATAAAGGGGAAGCATGTTGATCCTCGACCTGCGACGGTGTTTCCGTCTGTTTCTAAATATCCCCTGTTGCTCGGAATTGTTTTAGTTTAATTTACAAAGCCGCGAAAAAATACACTCGGAGAAAGGGCGCGTAGAGCAGGATTTCGCCTCGCCGTAACTTTTGCACAGCCACGCAAACTGCGCCTCCGAGAAGCTCACGTTTAAGTCTCCAGCTTTTCTTTTTTTTTTTTGCTTTTTTTTTTTTTTGGTCCCTGGGTCACTTCTCAAATATTCGAAAAGTAAAACCAAAAAGGTCCTTTTCTGCCGGTTTCAGAGGAGCCAGCGAGCACTCGGCAGCCCCGCACCGCCGGCGCCGTAGGGCTCGGCTCGGGCAGCGGGCGTGGGCAGGGGGGGAGCCTGCCTCTGAAAGTGACCGATTTGCATTTTAATTGGGGCGAGAAAAATTAAACAGCGTTTGGAAGCGCAGGGGCAGGCGCGGGGCCGCCCCGCTGTGTGGGCAGCACCCAGGGGAGCTGCTTTTCCTCTTGTCTGCGGAGGAGACGGTGCGGAGGCCGGGGTCTGCACCGGTGTGGCTGGGGCGGGGGAGGACAGGGGCTCCTCCCGCCGCCCCATCCCGCTGCCTCCCTCCTCGGAGCGCCCCGAGGGACCTTTCCCAGGGGCGGCCACCGGCAGCGGCGGCAGCTTCACCCGCGGCTCCGCGCTGGTGGCGGGGCGGTGGGGGAGGGAACCGGGGCCTGAGTCCCCGGGGACGGACCCGGCCGCCCTACGCCTGCTTCTGCAGTGCGGTCCTGCCGGCCGCGGTCCCGCTCGGGGCTGCTGCGGGGCAGCCGGCGGTGCCAGCGCCGGGCGCAGCCTCCCCCGCCCGGCGACCGGCGGGCAGCGGCACCGGCAGCTCCGCTCGCTCCGAGCGTCCTTCCCGGCCAAAGCGGGAGCTCGCTGCCCGGCACCTCTGGGTTTGTTTTCTAGGGAGAGCAAAACAAAACAGTCCCTCCCGCACAAACTGCTTCTCCTTCCTTCCTTCTGGAATGAACGGGTGGCATCTGGAAAAAGAGCGGTCGTTCGGGGGCCGCCTCGTGCAACTTCTTTCCCAAAAATAGCAGCACAGGTGAGGTGGCGCCAATAGGGCCGACCCGTGCTTGAGAAATGGTTCGGATTCAAAACCAGCCGTCCACATTACCTCCTTTCCGTGTCTTTAATAACTGCGACCTTTAAACAGTTGAAAATATTGGCATTTAGTTCCGTTTGCAGACTCAGGTTTTGTTTTCCCGAAGCACAGCCCTAGTCAGGGAAAGTTACTCAGGCGGCAGCCGGGGGCTGCGCTATGCTGGGGGGGGGGCACCGTGAGCACGCTAGGCAGAGGTGGGAGTAAAAACCACCCCAATAACAAACGTTCGCTAACGGGGTGACCAAACCGCAGCCTGAAAACGCCGCCGCCGAATTACTCCTTGAGCACAGGCGGGTACTGAACGGGTCCGGGGGCTGCACGTTAATACCCGGCCGCGTTTCGCCAAATTCACTAGGTCTCACCATAAGCGCTTCACCGCCTCGTTGCGGATAAAGCAACGACCGAGTGAAATAATAAAAGAGAGAGTAGCCGCCGAGCGAGCGGGGGGGGTGCGGGCGGAGAGGAGGAGCGAGCAGCCCGGCCGGCGGGACGGGGGGGCAGGGGGCGAGCGACCACCCGAAAGGAGGCAAAGCCGCGGGAGAAGAGCAGCTCCCGTGGAAACCCCGCGGGGTCTCGAGGAGGGACCCCCCGGAGGACGGCAGGGGCTGAGGCTGCGGAGAGATCCCGGGCAGCGAGGGACCAAGGGCCGGAGGAGCCGGCGGGGAGGGGACAGGGGGCTAAAGTTGCGATGGAGACCCCGGTCACACAAAGCGGAGGCCAAGAGGAGGTATGGATTAGGAGGTATACAGAAGGAGCGTTGTCAGAAAAAGCGGCAGTTACTTGTTTGCTCGGTCGAGGCGTAGGAAGTACAAGTGCTGGAGCAGCTGCGCCTCTGAAATTCACGTTGGCTGGAATGGTCCCAGCATACCTGAAAGAAAAAAAAAAAAAAAACCAAACCATGAGAACCCCCAAAATTAAAAGGTCCAAAGTGCTTTCGCATAGCGAGGTCAGATATTCTTCAAGCTGATGAGACGGGGACCCGAACTGCAGCTTGCTGCCCCGTGTCACCTGCGGTGTCCAGCTGTGCCCGGGGTTGTGCCTCCAAGGGAGGGTTTGCCCAGAGCTTTCAGCCCCCCAGCAGCGGGGACAGATGCCAGGGACCCCACCTTGCCCAGCTTTTTGCCCCGGGAAGTCATCGTGACTGGGAGACGGGTCTGTCTGAACTAAATCGAGTAATGGCTTTATTTAGCAAATAAAGTGCTTTGCCATTACCGTATGTTCTTCCTTGCAAGCAAGCAGTCAGTTACTTTCTTAAAGTGATGGATAGGTATTTAGACACCTTTCTGTTGTAGCAGCACTGTAAAGCCACTGAATCATTTGTTGCCTGCCCTACATGGTGGAAAGGAACTGAGCCAGGAAAGCCTAATGTTCTTCTGGGTGCTAATTCCAACTCTTAATCAAGATCTGATTACCAAAAAGGAAGACAGAGCATAAAAATGCTATAAAGATTTAATTTTTTTCTATCTTGCCCATAATTCACGCTGCAAATGTGTCCATTATGGCATTTGGTCTAGCAGGAAAATTGTGATGTTGTTGCAAGATTCCCTACAGCAGAGTGCCTGCCAATGATGATGAATAATCCCGGTCCATATGCTAGCTCTATACAGCTCTATAGTACCAGCGTGCTCTCGTTCTCTTTCTGCTTCCTCAAAAACATGGAATATCTGAAGAACAGTAAAAGCTAATTAAAAATAGTTAATAGGTTAATCAGACTCGGTCTTATATTTATCTAATGCAGAGCACTGATTCTTTAGTGATGTAGCTTTGAGGCATTACCACGAGCCAAGAAAATGAATCAGACATTTAATGGAGATATGGAATCGGAAATTTCTTGTAAGACTACAAAATCACAAGCCAATAATACACTAAAATATAATAAAGTTATCATTAAAATTCCATGCATGAAATGCCATCCTCTGTGTCCTCTCACTAGGCGATAAACTGAGGCAAAGCTGGCCAGAATTTTTTTCAGGAGCCAGGCCTTTGGATACATCTCACCTGCTTTTTAGCATTCTTGTCCCAGAGTGTCTGCCTGCAGACCTCTGGTGACAGCCAAAGGCAGAGGCTTCATGGGCGACCCCGCTGCAGACCGCCTGGTTTGCTCTTCAGAGTGCCAAGGGCCATGAGACGCTGCCAGCTCTAGCTGGGGGGTGTGCTGGAGATGTCAGCCTAGGACTGGTATTGCTTTGTGTTACTCATTTTGTCTGACTGCACAGGAATGGTTTCTGTGGGTAACAGCTTCCCCTTTCCAGCCGGTGGCGGATGCTGTGAGCTCTTGCCTTCCCCGGGGTCTTCCAGTCACTTCTGAGGACACGCTTGTGTCACTTTGCTGCTCTAACGCTGTGGTCCCCACATCCTGGCCGAATTCTATTTCCATTTACACTGCAGTGTATCCAGAATAACTGGGAACGGAGGCTGAGACTGTAACGAGACTGAGTGGAAACAGGACCTGGTCATTGCTCTTTTAAGACAGCTGCAAGGACAAGGAGGGTGTTGCAGGCTGCTGCTTACAGTCACCTCTGTTGCCATTTCAGTGTTTCTTTTG